TGTGTCGTGGTATCCGGCCAACGTGGTTAAAGCCAGTTGGTCAAAGGTCAATTTGTCAATAGACAACTTGTAAGATAGGCCACTTTGTCATGAAATGCAAATGGCGGAATATGTGGCTTTTGATACAGACTGCGTCACCTGGCAGCTCTCGGGGAACTCACTGCAATGGGTGTTAGGAGCGAGGGTAAGACTACTGGCTTAGCACTGGGATGTGCTAAACCAGAAGTGCCCAAATAAAAAATTAGGCGGGCCAAAATTATGATTAATAAAGAGTGTGCAGGCCGCACCTTCTGCGACGTGTTGCAAATTTTGGCTGCGGTCAGCCTTTTGATGTCGGGAGTCATCGAACTCGTTTCCGTCTTTAGCCCATCTCGCAATGTCATGTTCGCCATGGCAGGTCGAACGCGGTTCTTGCTCAAAGTCATCAGTCATCAGCTCGCATGCTATAGCATGATAAAGGTTTGGGTAGTTTGAGGCTTGTTGGTCCTAGTACATCCAAGGGTCGAGAGCCGCTGCCAGCCCTTGACAAATTAGGCTCCGAAATCTCGTAGCTGCGACTCTCATGCCGATTATTTGTCTGTGCGCCTAATGTACTACATTCTTGCCTTGTGCGTCAACCGTTGATCGCCCTGTTCTTTTTTTTTCGCGCATAACCGACATGCTTGGGCATGCTGTCAGTTGAGAAATTGGTCATGAACGGCTATGCAAACAGTCGCCGATGTTTCCATGTGTCCGAGTGTCAACCGACGATCATTTGGTGATCATCTAGGTTCGTGTCTCTGTGCATTATCAGCATCGCTAGAACAGTGATGTCTATCTTGTAATTGGCTGTGTAAAATATCGGTACAGGAGGAGTAATCAAAAGGATTTATATAAAATATTTACATTTGGAATGCCTTGAGGTCCGTTGAGGCGTTTCTTTGCAATCACGTCTTCATCCTCCTCTTCATTCCGTTTCTAAATTTCGCGATCAAGTATTTGTCCTTTTCTTTGTCTTCAATGAAACAGATGTAAGTTCATACAAATATTCTACACACTTCCGCCCCCGCAATGAGCATCTCTGCTTATCCATTAAGTGACTCTGATGGGTACAAAAGTTGTATAGGCCGTTTGATAACTTTGCCGTATAGCAACCTTATCGAACAAGATCTCACCTTGCCGTCACGTCCAGGAAGCGTTTGTGCTACTCGACCCATTTTCCAACATTGTCGGGGAAGTAAATGTTCATCTACTAACACAAACTCCCCCTCTCTCAAAGAGCGCGACAGGACGGGACGAGAATGGTGGGCAGACCGGAGTTCGTTAAGGTATTCTCTTCGCCATCTATTCCAAAAGTGATCTGTCACCTTTTGTCTGTGCTTCCACCGCCTTTGAATGTCAAGGGAACTTGCACTTACAACGCTCGGAGGTTCGCTGCGGGGGAGTGAGGTAAGTAGCTTTCCAAAGAGGAAGTGCGCTGGTGTGAGAGGGGATGGTTCTGAAACCTCTGAATATACGAAGGTCAACGGTCTGGAGTTAAGCACTGCTTCGATCTCAGTTAATATCGTGATCAACTCCTCGAATTTCGGGTAACTACGTCCTAAAACCTTTTTCAGTGAAGTTTTCACACAACGAACCATACGCTCCCAAAATCCCCCCCCCCCCCCCCCACCAAGCTGCCTTTTCTACTATAAAACGCCACTCAATTCGGAAAGACGCAAACATGGCTGTGACTTCCTCTCGACGTATACAGTTCCACAGTTCTGACAGTTCACGATTTGCGCGGCGGAATGTCCGTGCGTTATCCGTCATTACCACACGGCAAACTCCTCTGCGAGAAATGAATCGTCTAAAAGCTAGAATAAATGTTTGGGTAGTCAAGTCACTTACAAGTTCGAGATGTACCGCTCGGGTTACAGCGCAGGTAATGATAAGAATGTAGCACTTGCTAACACTGCCACATTCTTTAGAGAAGAGGGGACCCGCGAAATCCATGCCGGAGATTTCAAAGGGATCAGCTTGGTTCACCCTCATACTCGGTAGCGGTGCGGTTGTTTCGCTAGCTGGCTTGCATCGAAAGCGATCGCAGGTTACACATTGCTTGATTATTCTTTTAGTAACTTGCCGTGCTCTTACTATCCAGTATTTTTCTCGGAGACTGGTTAAGGTGTCACAAAGACCAGCGTGCAGAAGCCTCTCTTGAGTAGATCTTATTAATAGTTCCGTGAACTTGTGTGCGCTGGGCAGAATGATGGGATGTTTTTCTTCTATTATTTGCTGTGTCTTCTGTAGTCTTCCGCCCACTCGTATGATGTCACTGGAGTCGAGAATCGCTGTGAGAGAACTCAAAGGTGATGTTTTGTCAAGAGTCTTTCTTTCTTTGAGGGTAATGAGATCATGGCCGTATTCTTCACGTTGGGCTTGTTTTATCAATGTGATTTCGGCTTCTTTTATTTCGACGGCAGTCAAGCCTCCCTGTCTCCTGGTCAGTCTTTTGCAGTTGTGTACAAAACGAAGAATCCAAGCAGTTTCACGTAAAAGGCGATTAAGGTTGTTGTGAGTTTCTAGTGAAATAAGGGGTTCTACAATCAAGAGAGTCGTGCAAGGAACTGTTTGTCTTGGTTCTAAGGATTTGTTATCCTCCATTAGCTAATCTTTCATCGACTGTTCAGGCCATTCTCGCGATGGTTTTTGTAACCAATGTGGTCCAGTCCACCATATTGCACTTGACGCAAGTGAAAGAGGAGTAACACCCCTAGTTAGGAGATCAGCTGGATTTTCGGTACCTGGACAATGTCTTCACTGTATAAGATTCGTTAGTTGTTGAATCTCTTCTACTCTGTTCGTAATGAAAGGTTTCCATTTTGACTTCGAACCCTTGATCCAGTGCAATGTGATATTTGAATCAGTCCACAGGAGGACGGCTTGTATGCGTATGTGTAAATTCTCGATAAGACAGCGTTGTAACCTAGCGGCTAACAAGGCCCCCATAAGTTCTAGTCTTGGAAGTGTAAGATTCTTCATGGGCGCTACTCTGGATTTGGATGCGATCAGACCAGTCGTGACATGTTTCTCATTGTTGATCTTGAGGTACGCTGCCGTACCGTATGCCCTTGGACTTGCGTCTGAAAACACATGAAGTTCTACGACTGAACCATCGCCCTCGGTGTCAAGGTTTGAGTATCTCTGGGGTATCGTTAATTCGTGAATAGTTGACAAATGCGAGCACCAATCTACCCATTCTCCGGTGATGCCACCTGGAAGATCGTCGTCCCATCCTACTGCCTGTTCCCAGAGTCGTTAAAACAGCAACTTCACCCTCACGGTCACCGGCGCGATCCATCCAAGAGGGTCAAATATTCTTGCTGAAGTCTGTAAAATGTTGCGTTTCGTTAGCTTCGCAAGGTTTACGACGCCCAGAATGTTGTCAACGTTAATAGCAAGTTGATCGCTGGCCCTGTTCCAAAGAAGGCCTAGTATTTTCGTAAAATTCCCTGTAGAGTCGTCTGGTGAAAATTGTGTTTCCTCTAATGATTCGTTCTTATCAAAGATTGATTGTAAATCTTTGTCATTTGTGCACCACTTACGGAGGTTCATGCCGGCTTCACCCATGATAACCTTAGCTTCTTCGTGAAGCACTTGAGCTTGTTTGATTGTTTTCGATCCAGTGAGTAAATCGTCAACGTAAAGACAGCTAGATAAGGTCATGGAGGTTTCTGAAAACCGGCCTCGGACACTCTTTAAATGATGTCGTATAGTGGCTGCAAGGAGGAACGGGCTGCAGGCTGCTCCAAACGGGATTCTTGTCATTCTCCAGATTTCTGGAGGGTTGTGCGGTTGAGCAGTTCTTGGGATCTCTCGAAACCAGAAAAAACGAAGAGCGTTTCGATCTTCGGGTGCAACAAAAACTTGTAAAAAAGCCTTTTCGATATCAGCGAAAAGGGCGATCGGGTGCCTTCTAAAATTTAACAGCATTTGCATGAGGTCAGGATTTAAGTTTGGTCCTGCATGGAGGTTTTGATTTAGAGAAGTACAACGTGGGGCATGAGACGACGCATCGAACACTATCCGTACCTTGGTTGTCTGTCGATCATTTTTTATCACGGCTCTGTGGGGCAAGTAATACGTTTTTTCACTGTGTTCCTCGTCATCATCAGGTTGGACTCGTTCGGCGAACCCTTTAATAAGGTACTCCCTCACAGCCTTGTCATACTGCATGAGCAGGCAGTCATCTCTACGTAGTTTTCTGAGCAATGCAGCTAAGCGAGTTTCTGCAACATCCTTATTGTCTTGTAACAGAGGTTCAGGGGACTTCCACAATAGCCGGGCTTCGTATCTTCCGTCTATCTTCTTCACGGAGGAGTTGAACGATTTTAGCAAATACAGAAAAGAGCCACACTCTTGGTCCTTCGATGGGGAGTCCCTAATTCCCAGACTTTCTAGTTCCCAAGATTTGCGCAGTTCTAAACAGATGTCTTTAGATGCCTCGCCAACGCTCATCGTGAAAATAGCAGTGGCGGTACATACATTAGAGGCGTTACTCACTTTCACGGGACCTTGCAAAGACCAGCCAAATATGGTCTCCACAGCAGCTAGAGATGAGTTGATACGTTTGACACTCCCAGTCGTTACTTTCCAATAATAATCAGACTCGATGAGAATGTTCACTCCAGGTTCCGGTTTTTCGTTCTTTAAGGGAAGGTCCGCCAGAGTCATACCCTTCGACTCTAGATTTTGTATGAGGCTGGTGTCTGTTACGTAGTGAATTTCTCCACAAATCTCGGGGACTTCCAAGGCCTCTATGACAATCTCTGCTCTACTGTGATGGCTTTTCAGAAGAATCTCGACTCGGCGACATCTTCTTTTCGTTCCTTGTGCAGAGTCACCGAAGGCGAAAATGGTGAGGTCTTCTTCACCGACGGGTCGGCAACGGAGCTTTTCTGAGACAGTCCGTTTTACAAAGGAACGCTGGCTCCCCCCATCGATCAGAACTCGAAGTGTTGTCTCAATTTGACCCTTAGCTAGTACTTTAGCAGTCTGAAGTAACACTTGTTGGGGGCTACTTGATCCCGCCCTAGATATCCCGATGAACTGCGAAGGCCCTCCAGGAACGTTAGGTGATGGTCGGAGTGCAGCCCATTCTGGATCACACAACACTGTGAGGTGTCTGCCGCCGCAACTCGCGCAAGAAAGCGTTCGCGCGCTTCGACACTCTCTTGCTTTGTGAAATTGTTTTCACATCTAAAACATCTGTTGTCATGTTTAAGTTTCTCTTTCTTCTCTTGTAATGTCAGGTGTGTCGTGCATTCCTGCAGCGGGTGGTCACCAGAGCCACAGAAAACACAGCAGTGGACGCTCACTTTTTCTAGTGTAGGGAGAGCCGATGCAGAACTTATCTTGTCAACAATAGACCCTTGTGATGGACGGAACTTTTCTTTTGAAGAGTGTGTGGAGAGTTGAAAGCACTTCTCCCTTGTTATAACTTCTGCATCAAGGAATGCAAGAAGCACTGTGAGATTGTCTTCCCCGTCCCCTGAAGGCCCTTTGGCGTCCAGCTTCCGGTTGTACCTCAGCAGAAGATCAGAAGGGAGGGCTCTTTGGAGCACGGTGTGCAGAAGAACACCGTAAGAATGTACATCCACTCCTAGACTTTGTAGGCTCCTGATCCTTGTCACTACGGCATCATGGAGTTTCCTGAGTCCCTCTGTGTCCTCTGAGGATCTTATTGGTTTGGTGTCCATGAGATGGGAAAGATGGTTATTAACTATCACAGTGGGCTGACCGAATCTTCTCTTTAAGAGTTCAATCGCAACGTTGTAATTGTCACTGGTCACGGGAATCCCCTTGACAGCAGCATCGGCTTTTCCGACCAGGTAGATCTTCAGATATTTGAACTTGTCGACTGGAGACAGTGTTGGATTGTGGTCTATAGAGGACTGAAACTGGTCCCAGAACGTTTGCCAGTCTTCCGGATCTCCGTTGTATTTTGGAAGTTCTAGTCGTGGAAGCTTGACGTTAGGTCCACTTGCTTGACGTTCTCTAGGGTCATTTGCTTCAGTGTCGTTGTTAGAAAGAACTCTTTCGTTGCAGTGCTGTTTTCGTAACGCTTGGGCCGTTCTTGTTTTAATGTTTCTTATAGTCTCTTCGTACGTGGTACAGGTTTGTGTTTCTTCTTCTATTTCGTTCTGGTCAATGAGGTCTGCGATCTCCGCATCTAGTTGGTGTAGCGACGTTTCTTTCAATGTGAGGAAGTTGAGCTTCTCTTCTATGTCACCTTCTGGTAGCGGAGTCAGCTCTAATGCCGAGGAAATGTCGTTGACAAGCTTGGTAACAGTGGACCGTATTACCCCTCGTCTTTTCTTGAGCCTTTCCATCGTTTTTTTCGTTATTTCCCGGGTTTCGGCACCATGGTTTTTGTAAAATATCGGTACAGGAGGAGTAATCAAAAGGATTTATATACAATATTTACATTTGGAATGCCTTGAGGTCCGTTGAGGCGTTTCTTTGCGATCACGTCTTCATCCTCCTCTTCATTCCGTTTCTAAATTTCGCGATCAAGTATTTGTCCTTTTCTTTGTTTTCAATGAAACAGATGTAAGTTCATACAAATATTCTACAGGCTGTGAACGATGACGCGACTCGCTCAGGTTTCCCTCTGTTTACCGGCAAGAAGGCATACGCTCCCTGGTCGCCATTATATTTCAGACTGCAGTGTTTTAGAGAACCGTTTGTGCGACTATTGCACAATCTATCAACCTGCTGATAGTCATGTTGTGACGCTGATCTAGACCATAACTTCGATTCTACTATGGCCAATACCGTTGTCGTCTGCGTGCATGCCATACTAGTCGCGCTTTGGGTGCTCTTGGAAAAGGAGGCTGAGAGCATTAAAATAATGCGGAAAGAAGGCGTGTCCTTGTCTTCAAACAGGCGTTTCTTAGGGGTCGGGGGTCGGGACTCCTACGCCAAGGTGAGCCGGCCCTCTCGGGGCTCCCAAAGCAACGGGGGCTATCGACTGCGCGTCGACTTAACCGAGTTGAACCAGGTCATCCTCATAGAGCAGCATAAGATTCCGACCGTCAACCAGGCGTTCGGGTTGCTGGGAAACGCTACGGTATTTCGAAACTGGGCGCAATATCTGGGCTTTACCAGGTACGCCTCTCCGATTGCTGTTAGGAGTACATGATGTTCATTACATCCTTCGGGCGATTCTATTATCGCTGCCTGCCCTTTGAAATCACTTAGGCCCCAGAGGTGTTCCAGAGCCGGATATCACTGATTTTCGAAGGAATTAAAGGATGTTTCGACATGGTAGATGACATCCTGGTGTATGGCAAAGACCAGTCTAAACCCGACAGCAGGCTTCAAGTTGCCCTTGAGAGACTGCAGCACGTTAGCGTTACCCGAATGGTTCCAAGTGCCGCCACAGGGTCTCGTACCTCAAGTTCCTTGAAGTGGTGTTCATTACCGACGGCATAGCACCAGACTCGGACGAAGTCACCCGCCGTCACGGGTATGCAATTTCCGACAGACTCCTGGAGGGGCTGAACCACATTTGCCATTTCCTGCTGATCTTGTCCGCCACCACAGCGCCAATCAGGCTCGTCCTAAACAAAAACACAATCTCGACCTGGGGTACCGGTCAAACTTCAGCGTTGACTGGCCAAAAAAGATGGTGTCACCCAGCTCCTGCCCGGCTCGATAGAAATCAGTTTCCAGCAATCGTTCATACAAGCACCAGCTCGTACGGCCTGGGCGCCGTCTTCCTGCGGGAGAAACATCTGATGAGCGACGAGCAGTTGCTTTTCCGTCGCGATCACCGACTACTGCCGAACAGCGGTACAGCTAATCGAGAAGGAAGCGCTGGAAGTCCTGTAAGCGATCCAGAGGTTCAATACGCTTCTGCTCGATCTGAGCTCTTTTGTCAAAACAGGCCACCAGTCGCTAATCCAATTGCTGGGCTCCACCAACCTCATGCCTCGACGCGTCCAGTGGTTTCGCATCCAGCTGCTGCGCAACCAGTTCACGGTGCATTATGTTCCTGACAAGTGCCTCGCCACTGCTAACATGTTTTCTAGAGACCCCGAGGTCCTCAATTCAGCTGCGTCTACTGTGAACTGCGTCGAGCTTTTCCAGTCAGAGGTTGTGACTGCACACTCTAAGACAAAGGAAGGAGAAAGATAGCAACACCGTGTTTCCCTCCATTTCACTGACGCGCCCCGAAGCGAATCCGAGAAGACGAAAGGAGCAAAACATCTTCTTCTTGAGGAAGGCGTAATAAAATTTATCTCACCTTACTTTCGTGAGCTGCTCTGAGATTTGCTACTTCTCTATTATTACTTTTTTTCCGACACCCTGCACGCGCAGTTGAATAAGCGATACTTGTGCGCCCACGTATCCCCACGCAGCGCTATAAGTCACCCGAAATCGTGAACATTTGTATGTCAACCGCAGGGCGTCTATATTATATCTTGCCTAGAACACAGAGCAGTATGCTGGTTCGTATCATTCATTTCGTTAAATAAGTAAACAATGCCGTCATGAACTGCCAAGTTCTGTAATGGTTCTATGTACGCTGGTCACGGTGGATGCACAAGGGTCTCTCGAGCCTGCTTGAGCCTATTTGGGCGTGACGACAGTGAGCCTGTGAACATGGTTGTCGCGAAATCCACCGTTACAGCGACCCTGCCGGTTAATAGTATGTATGTCTACCGTACTACGTTCTTACACTGGGTGAACCGATGATCGCCTTGCGTTCCGTTTTTCCACGCACAACCAACAACGCCATGCAGTGCTCTCTTCTGTGAAAGTGGTTGTGAACGAAGACGCCAACAGTCGCCGAGCTCACCTCCTGTTTTACATGAAATTGACGTATGCTCTTTGCTTGCACTATTTTTTTTCAGGTTTCTGCGTTTTAGGGAACCATATGTGCGGTTTCTGTGTAGTCGCTTTACACCATATGGCCTGTGTTTTCACCCCTGCTTTGATGTTGAAAGACAAAACTTTTTTCTTTTCTTTTTTTAGTTCTTTTTTTAACCACCATAACCCTCTCCCATAGGCAGAGTAGCCCACCGGGACTAACAAACTAGGTTAATTTCTGTTTTTCTAATCTGATTTCTCATGTTCATCACCTCAAGCTGATTTTCGGTCTTCTCTACCCTCGTAAACTGCTGGCAGGCAAACTGTGGCGTATCAATATGCAGTCTTTGGTTTCCCCACGCCACTGTGGCTACTTGCCCATTGGTTGTAAAGAAGGTTGCCCAATTTTATTTTTAACACCTCTTGGCCTTTTAAGTCTCAGCACTGGAGTTTCTCCGGGCAATATCCAAACGGATGACTAGTGCTTGGTTTGGAGAGGACACTCGATGGTCCACATTTTCTCGCTCTTTACAATGTCAGATATTTACTCTCAGCGTTGCCGCTTTGCAATTGGTACAGCATTCCTTGGCATCCTTACACCCTTGCGTGATTTTGAGCTACCGTCGGAAAGGTCCATTCTCAATTTGGAGTGGTACCACAACTTTCTGGTGTGGTGTGGGACGGGGTGTCGAACTGGACCTTGTGGGGGTGCTAGGGGTGTGCTTGTGTATAAGCAGGATTCAATATTTGAACCATATTTTCAAGCGCAGGCAGCCATGAATGGTCATGGTCAAGACAAAACAACTTGTTTTATTGTTGCCCTGCTAATCAGTTAGTTGAACTAATCACCCGGTAGTTTGTTGAACAAAAGTTTGTGAAACATTTTTTTCACGAAAAGGCGTGGGATCAAAATGAAAAACATAGTTTGCAATGATATTTGGAAATTCGGGGTGTTCCGGCAAACAAAACTTCATTTGACTGCAACGCTACAGCTATCCAGCGAATTGCACTACATTCAAATACCGTGGAAGCCAATACTGGCAACTCCCGCGGAAAACGGGCGAAAAGTGATTGCAGCGCCCCTGGCGAGCTCGGAGTCTCCTTTAGCAGACAAATTCTCCAAAATGCATTGGTTTTGCCTATCTCCGTGCGAGGTGACCAACGAAAAAAAAAATTGTCACGGACATTCGCTGCTTTGAAAGTTAAAAAATGGGTGCGAGCTCATGAGTGAAGGACATTCTCTTCGCGTGGGAAAGATGTTACAGCTTTCTGGGTGCAATTTAGGATTTCTCCCGAAGAAAACATTCTGTCACAACTGATGTAAGCCAAGCAAAACACGAATGTATGCCTTCGTGCTGTTTCGTGAAAAAGGGAAATGTACAAACATTTCAGAACATAGCTTCGTTTCAACTTTATTGTTCTTATCAGTCAATTCGTTTTGTCGTTGCAATTCCCATTTCTCATGAATGTCTTGCTAATAACCGTTTCGTCGAACAGGCGAGCTGGCTAATCCCGTTAAGATCGTCTCCGAATGAAGAAGCAGTAGAGTCAATTTCGAACCACGTACGTTACGGCGATGTCAGTATGCTCCGAAAGAAGTCGTTGTGCATATGCAAATCTGACGCGATTATAGATTAACAAAAGCGGAGTTACGAAAAAAGCAGACTTCTCGCGCATGCAAAGAGAGAAGGGGAGAGCGTCGTAGCCGCGCGAAAAAAGGTGATTTCAGTCACGTTATTCACAGTGCACAAATTCCAATTGTTAGCGCGGGGACGACCAACATCTTTCGCTTCGCTGCTTCTTTACTTCTACGATAAAGGCCAACACCCGTTGAACCGTCTCCACTCTTTCCATTTTTGAGTCTTCTTTCTTTTATATTTTTGAGGCGACGCCACTCTGCCGCGTTATTTCTTCCTCCTGCTTGTTTTCTTTTTGCTCTTTTTTTTTGCCCGACGTGTAAACCATCGAGTACCTTGCTTTGTTTGGTTTAGTTTTTACTCCCCTTCCTTCACTTCGGCGCTTACTACCCCCGGTTTGTCTGCGCTAGGCCCGGGCATTTTGAGGGCCGTTTGCAACTTTGCTGTTGTTGTTGTTTTCTTCCACTGTCGTCTGCGATAACGTCCTATTTTCGCCTTCGATTGAGTTTCTAATCCAAACTCGTCATACGTGCTTTTTGATATTTATTAAATATATTAAGAAGTGTAAGCTCGTTATACATTTTTATTCGAATTTTATTTGTGTACTCCGGCCGGCACGTCTGCTACGGGTCATCGTTTGTTGATCAACCGGCCGCATTCGAGCATACACCAGAGCATACTTAGAGATGGCAGGCATGCAATGTGCTGCCTACCATTGCAAGAACAAGTTTGTGCGATGTGGTGGAAAATCTTTCTTCTGCTTCCTACGTCAACCTACGGACACCTACGTCAACAAGTACTTGAATGCACTTTTAAACTGCTTCTTCAAGCGAGCCAACGAACAACCCGCCAAAGTCACTGGAAAAAGAAATTCGAAA